CCTCTGGGCCAAAGCGCCACTATGTCTGATACCGGAAATTGAAATATTTGTCGATACCGATATCATTCCGATACCTGCATGCAGTGGGCTGCCATTATTGAGGCAATAGCTTCCCTGTTTATGGTAAGTTAAGTTTTGCACATTTGGCTTTAGGTATCTGATCAAATAGGCTATAGCTGTTTTGTTTGATGTTCAACCCTGAAATTTTCAGAACAAAATTTTAGAACAATACTGATCTGGATCAGCCATCCTTAGCATAGACATCTCCAAGAGAAGAAATTCCCTGATGGTCTCACATAAACCGCAGGCATGAAAAGAAACATCTTTTTACTTTTTATAAATTAGGACCTTTTAATTTGTCAGTTGACAATAAGGTCCTCCCCCCCAAAGTGATTTTCCATGATGCATTAGACAAACAAACTTGGATTAATTTACAGCCATGACGTATATTACAGTTTATATCTTTTATCCATTCATTAAAAATGTAATTTTATTTAGATTATTGTGAAGTCAATCTTTCCTGCGTTGGAGATTTTCTTTAGGATTAAAGGAGAAATAAGGAGTGTTGTGATGGGCTGCTGGGCTCATTTACCTGATTTATTGAGACTTTTAAATTGCAGCTCTCTGTGTGTATGTGGCTCGGAGTGATAGCTTCATAATGCCTGAACATTTAATCAATAAGGATTCACCTAAACAAATCCAGTTGGAACAGAAAACTTTCAGGAGCTTTTAAGAGTTCGTTTAGTAAGGGATGTGACGGATTTACTCGCTGCGAAATTAAACGCTTCTTGACAGGAGTGTGAAAATTGAACAAACAATTTCTCAGGAAAAGTAAACCCTGCACCCTGGGACCACCGCGCTTTGGTTTTAATTGTGGTGGTAGATCATCTGGTAATTATCTCAACTATCATCACTCCAACGAATGTGACAATCAATTCGTCCTGCTTTCTTGGACTGGAATAATGAAAAGTTTATTAGCCTCCCTTAACACCATGATTGACTGAGACACTCTGAGACATTAAACCATCTGCTGAAATGGTTGGCCCGTTGAGAAAGTCCTTTAGTCTACGTTATTTGCGTCAATAGACTTGTCTGTGTCGGTTCTCAGGCATCCAGGTCAACTTATCCAAAAATAGTTACATCGAGGTCAACTGGACGGTGTATACTGTATAGTGTCAATAGACAATAGACTTAACTCGTTCAGAAGCTGTTACCTTGGAACCAGGGTCCTTGAGTGCTAATTTGGTCAATCTGGAAACTCTCATAATACAAAAGAAGTTTAGATTATAACACCACGATCCACTGCAGCAAGTAATAACACCTCATAGTAAAACCTACATTGTTTGACTGGGTAGCGACCCTCAGGTGGGTTGTAAGAGATATTTTTTTGGGTCATCTCGTATCATGTTTCCCAGGAGTTTACGAATAATGTCTATTGACTTGGGTTGCGAAGATTTGTGACTTTTAAAATATGGGTCCCCAGAACAAAAGTTTGGGAAACACTGATCTTCTTTTTTTCTTTCGGCTTTGTCCCTTTTTTTCAGTGGTTGCCACAGCGAATCATTGATTCCCATCTCTCCATGTTCTCTGCATCTTCTACTCTGACTCCAACTATCTGCATGTCCTCCCTCACTACATCCATATATCTCCTCTTTGGTCTTCCTCTCTTTCTCCTACCTGGTAGCTCCATCTCTAACATTCTTCTACCAATGTATCCACTGTCCCTCCTCTGCACATGTCCAAACCATCTCAATCTTGCTTCTCTAGCTTTTTCTCCAAACCTTCCTGTCTGTGTTGTCCCTCTAATGACCTCATTCCTGATCCTGTCCATTCTTGTCACTCCTAGAGAGAATCTTAGCATCTTTAACTCTGCCACCTCCAGCTCCACCTCTAAAAGATCCTTTACATAATTTCAGTCGCTGCCATAGGAAACTACGTTTGACACTAGCTCATAGCTGAGCTGTAGTTTTCAACATGGCCAGTAGAGGTGCAGGGAAACAACCAGTTAGCACAATCTGTTAGCACATATTTACCCATCAATCTCCAGGCTTGTTTGCCTCTTGTTGTTGTAGGTTTAGCTGTATTGATCCTCCCGCCAATGTCCTCCAGCTAATTCACAACCGTTTGTTATTCACTGGCCCCATTAGGTGCCAGACTTATTAGCACACAGCAGGACACAGCTAATGTCAGTCTTGCGTGAAAATAAAACGGAAAGTCTCTTTTTGTGGGCAGTGATTGCTCAGTGGTTAAGGAAGCGGAGCTGGGTCTGGAAGGCTTCAGGTTCGAGTCCACCACTGAGGTGCTCTGAGCATGGCACTGTCCCCACACACTGCACCCTGGGCGCTCAAAGCTTTTTCTTATCTGTTTATCTTTTGTAATGATATGATCGGAGCTTTAATGCTTAGAGTGAGGAAAACTGGTCAGGAAATACTGCTGAGAAACGACACTGTTGTCTGTTTTTGCGTTTGAAAAGGCCACAAATGGAGAGGAAGAATTGCACAAATTCCTCTCAAGTGCTTTGGTTCACAGTGGGGCTCCAGTAAAAGGGTTTTAAGTAAAAGGTTGCTTTGGAGTGCTGTGCGGTTTATCGGCCCCTGTCGATTTTTCTAACCCTCCGTTCATTCGCTTTGTTGCCCCCGCAGCCCTGTTGAAGCCAGGTGCTGGGGGTGGTAACTCTTACACTCACTAGTGGCGACATGCCATAATACAGCATCGCTACACATATTTACAGTACTTGAAAAGGCAGTAATTTCTAATCAAGGTCTGTGTGGTTTTTGAAATGTACTTAATTCACAGGCAGCAGCTCTTCTCCGCTCTGCTCCTCAAAATAATGGCTGTCTGTAGAACACCTGCACACTGTGTCAGCTGATGTGGTAAATTTGAGACGTCCAACAGTGCGCTGGTTTTCTGTGAAACAGCTGGGAAATTATACAGTAGCATTAAAAACTCTTTTTGTACCTCATCAAAAATTGTGGACAGAAGCTGAGATCATCCTCACCAGACTTAAACGGTCTCTAAAGGTTTTGTAAATAAATATGGGCTGACCACAGAACTGGGAATTATCCTGATGATTAGCAATAAAAAATAGAAATGTTAATAGCCATTAACTATTAGCCGATAGCCAATATCTCTATATTGTCCGATTTTGATATCTGATACGATACTGATATATACAGTCAACAGGATATACACTTATATATAATTATATAATCCTACGTTTAGCGTTAGAACATGTTTTGTCACCTGTGAAAATTCCTTGTGTTGCATGTGCAGTTTCCTCATGTAAGTGTGCAATAATTTTACCAGACAAGAAATTAATCTTTTTTACACACACTGACTCAAGGACATTTAGACAAACTCACACCTGAAATATCGCTGCATTAACGTACGGTGATGAATATCTTTTAGCTCAGATGCTCATCTGTCAAATATTACACTTCCTCCAATGTGACAGTTGACAATAGCGGTGCATGTTAATGGTAATGTTTAATGGATGTGATAAGTGTACTGATCAATTCCTGTGAATGTATAACATTTGCATATCGACTGATCCACAACTCTAATTTAAATAAAGGTTTACCTTGAACTACATCTCCCATAATTCATGTTGATTCCATCACCAACCTCCCCACGACTTAGACTGTTTAAAATTTCACTCCCCTGATTGATGGAGATTGAAGCCCACAGTTTGGGTGACAAATCCACCCAGGATCGCACCCTCCTCCCACTCTTCCCCCAGCGTCAACCTCTTGCGTCAGACTAATCACACTTCTGGTGTCTGTCTTTATCTCACAATCAGCCCTCCAACACCTAGTCAAGTCAGAGCGCTCAAGCTGCCATTTTAAATTATTAGTTCCGCGCTCGGGGCACGATCTCCTTCCTGTGCAGAGAAGAAAAAAAAGGTGAGGAAGACCAAAAGAGACGGCTTCGGTTTGCCCATCACGGGGGGGAGGAGGTGGAGTCACAGGCGGAGGCTGGTGTTGACATCCTAATCTTTGGCTTTGGTTATCTTCTCATTACAATCAGACAGGAGACACTTGAAGATTAGTCGAATGTGTAATTACACTCCGATTTCCCGTGACAAAAACAGACGATGATAAACACGGATAGAACAGTTTCCTCACAGTTTTTCACTTAGCCTAGTTGGTCAGCTCCTCCGCACCTTTGGATGGTTGCGGAGGAAGCAGTTGATTTAGTAAACATTAGTAAATCTATCATCAATAAATTAGCCTCTTCAAGCAAGAAGAGAAAGAAAGACTTTTCGTAACGATGTGAAATAGTAAAGTCAAAATGTACAATTGTGCATTACGGATGGAAGTACCAATTACTTTCTTTTGGCGTTTTTCTTTTCCCAAAAGGGGAAGAACTTTTGAAAAAGAAGGATGCAATTCTTAGACACGGTGGGTTTTCACCTGGTAGAAACGACACCCTGCAGGACAGAGATGGAAGTCTCCAAAAGATTTAGTTTAAGTGTTTGGAGAAAACCTAGATATTGTTTCCTGTCTTACGTTGACTGAATGTTGTGTATACTAAAGTCAGAATTTGGATTTCGGTATCTGTTTTGTCATGGGTCAAATCAATAAAATTAAAATGAATAATAATAATGAATAATATCTATTCCCTGGTCTTTTGATTTCTGTACTGCATTGTATAAATTGTAATTTTGCAAAGCACAAAAAAACAAGCAGTTTTTATGCCTGAGGCAGCGACTGGCAAGACATATTACGTTAAACTATTCTTCCAAAATGTCAGCGCAACCCAAGCATGGAAATAATTACGATTTAATTGACACCTTGATCTCGGCAGCAAAAGGCTGACCCTCCAATTCCTGGAGAATTAGAGTGAAATGGGGAGGAAAAACGACATTTCCAGTTGACCAGGGAGAAGATGGCAGAGCTAGCATTCTAAACCACCACTCAGTTTTATATAATGGAAGTAATCACTGCACATGAGCCAAAAGTAAATCTCTTTTTCCTATTTTTTTTTGTTTGTTTTTGCAGCTCAGAAACAAATGTCTGTCCAACTCTCAAACCTGCGGAGCAGAAGGAAGCCGACAGCCGCGTGGACACTGTGAAGAGAAAAGTCTGCGTTAAACGAAAAGGACGCAAACGCCACAGTCGTCGCAGGTTCAGGAGGTGAGTTGGTTTACAAAGCTGGGTTCCACGTCACTTAGTTTTTTAATGCTCAAGATATCACAAAGTTTTGGGTTCGGTTTGTCAAACTAGGAGCTGATTATCTGTGTCAAACAACAGGTATAGACCCTCACAGCACCACCTAGTGTGAAGAAATGGGACATATTCTTAAGTAATAAATACAAATCTTATCTGTTCAGGTGAGAAGACGAAACAGGATGTTGTGATTCCACCATGTGGCGCTCTGCTCTCTGAACAGTAACCTCTCACACACACAAACTGGTGTTTGCAGTCTTATTCTGCCTCTTTTTTACATCAGTATTTTTTTAAGTCAATTTGTTTTATTTAGTTACATATAATTTACTATTAACTATTTACTATTTTTTTGCATTTGGCTACAGGAAAAAAATGTGGTTAGATACTGTACCATTCTTTAAAAAAAAATAAAGATATACAAACAAAAACCCCACACCCACAGTTTTAAGTAGTTAAGAGATTAAGTCTCACCAGTGTCTGCGATCTTGCTACAGACGTCACCACGCAGTTGTAAATCATCTTCTTTTACCACAAGGTCAGTGAAAAGAGGGCTTGTGCCCGTAACTAAACAAACAACCACGACCTTGGCAGAACAGCTGAGGTCGTTGAGGTGCGTGTTGAACATTCACAGCAGAAAGGTTTACAAAACAAGAGCGGGACAGAAAATATTGGAGCAGTGAGCGAACAAAGAAGAAAAAAAGCATAGTCATGTTGATTTTGCAGTAGAAGAATTTAATGGAGGTGTGGCATGACTTTTCAGCAGGGGGTGGTGAAGGTAACGGTCTTAAATTACTGTTTTTATTTAAAAGAGTGGAATATATTCAAGTGTGTAATTTTTTTTATTTTTTTTATTTTTGAGTTTAGACAGAAGTTGAAACTCCGGGAATGTCACATAGTTCTGTGTTTAATTAACATTTTAACACTTCATTTAAAGAGAAGGAATTCAAAGGAAAAAAAAAACAAACACCCTAACCGTTTTTTAATTCTCTGCCCCTGCAGTAGGTTACACTGACTAAACACCCCAGTAGGTGGCAGTCTGGCAGCTAAAATTCGATGTCTAGAAAAAGTAGACTCGAGGCATTGAGTAACATCAGCTCCAGGGACTTTTAGTCTAGACTTTTCCTGACATAAATGAACCACCTTTTAGGATACGGCATGTGAATATTTAAATACCAGAGAACGTATTCTTGCTCATTAGGACACAAGAAAAGTCAGGCCGTTGTTTGTCACCAACCAAACAATGGGTTTTTTCACATGAGGCATATTTTCGCGGAGCAGTTATGTGTCCTCATTTTCGGTATTCATGCACGATTGCAGTGATAGAGAAAAAGAAAAAGACTCTCTAGGATAAATGTTTTTGGAGCGTATTCTCATCAGATATCCCACCTCCCCAGTTTCTATTTTCATACACCGTTGTTCCATGCAATCGCCATTCCCTCTATAGCCGGCAATTGAACACTCTCTCATTCTGCCTTTCCTTCTCTCCACCTCATCAAAATTGTTTCTGCTGGTAAGAAGAAAATGCAAATGCTCTCCTTGTGTTCTGTGTTTGCCGAGGCCAAAATGGTAAAATGGTGGAGATGTTAATGAGTGACAAAGCATTCTCATTACCAAGAGAGGGTACTTGGGCTGGTCTGTCTAATCAGCCCTAATGCATTTCAGTTCCTAGTGCTCCCAGACTGCCGACTTAACAGAGCAGGGCCATTTATTAGATCCAAACAGGAGAAACAGGAGCAGCCTCTTCAGTGCTCCGTGGTCACAGACGTCAGGCAAGTGCAGTTTGTCAAAGTCTGGATCCACTCTGATCACACTCACCTGTGCTCGTGACCTGCTGTCGTTTCAGTTTGAAGACGCGTCGCCACAACATATGAATAAATGACGCTCTAGCTACAGAGATGTTCTGTAATTTTGAACATGGTTATTACTAATGTTGGTCAGTTCGCCTTTATGGGTTTAAATGATCTCTATTTCTCTGTCTATAACTAGCAATAAAGCAAAATATTAAAAAAAAACATTGTGAACCACATGTTTTTCAATGTGGTTTGGAGCAGGAGCCAAAAGTCGTTAAAGAACTCTTTGAATTAGAGTCCTGGGACGGAAACAATATTTTCTTCAGCCAGCTGTTTTACACTGATGAGCCGGAGCCTTGTTTAAATGAGTGAGGAGAGGGCCACAACTTTACTTTATGATCGTTAGGACGTAAAAATGTCAGGTGTCGACGTGCAGTTAAAATCCAGGATAAAATGTATGATATGAAACGCAGAGGGTTTTTGGATATGGCCTCAGTATAAAGCTTTAAATACCACTTTTAAAAGACATTCTTTTTTCAGTACTTACATACACACATATGTACGCATATATATTTATGTGTATGTATGTGTGGGAGTTAATAGAAATATGTTTTTTTTCATATATATACATATATACATATATTTATATATTTATTTATACATATATAAATGGTATATGAATGTGTATGTGTGTATACACATAAATCTATACATGTGTGTCTATATATGTATATATGTATACCGTATATATGTATATATAAATATACTTATATACAGTATACATAACATATGTATATGTGCATACAGTGTTTCTTTTGTTGTTTGTTATTAGAACAGGATCTCTGTGTTTCACACCTGTTTATATTTGTGTGTATGGAAACGTATTAAAAATAAAACATGACTTTTCATCTTGACGTTGGCTTGTAGACCATGTGAAGTTGTTGACTTCAACCATATTAATCAATCTCCTCACTATACCTTTGACCGTTGGGGTTGAGCCTCCACAAACGCTTGTTGGGAATTGAGGTGGTATTTTAAGCTTGAGATGCGTTGGTAAAAGAAAACAACTTTCATGCAATGTGTGTCAATGAAAATGTGTGATACAATAAGGTAATGGATGGTGGAATATACAGATTATTTATTCTCTCCATGTGTTAAATGGTTATAATGGTATGAATGTGTTTGAAACAGTAGTTTAATTTAAACCATGGTAGGGTTGACACTTTCATTCTGAGGCGTTTTAAAACCTCTACGGAACTTTCTACTTCAAAAATGAAACGTTTATTTTCATGGAAGACCTGGAGTGAGGCGAGATGGACTGACCTCCTGACTTTGAATGGACATTCACAATTATCCTTCTTTCTTGAGTGCAGCCTTGTCATCTCGATGCCAGGGAAGCTCTCCGGCATCTGAACAGTTTTGAGCTTTACACCAGTCTGGATTGGATTTCATCATCTGTTGTGAGCAGATCATTTCATGTGAGACATCAGCCTCCCAGATAATCCTGTTTAATATTGCTGTGAGAAGGAACCAGGATTTGTTTGTGTGTCTGTCCTGCTGTGGCCACGATGAGTCATGAGGATTATTTTGCTCCACCCTCTTAGGACTTTTCGATAACATGCATTTTTGGAGAAACTTTTTTGCCAATTTATTGAGCACTGTCTATTTTTCACTTGTAAGTGAGCATCAAGGAGTGCTGTAACAACTGAATTATTCTATAGGCAGGATCAAAACACTGTTATCTCATCTTGTCTTATCTTATCTCGTCTTCCCTATTCTTACCTTATTGTATTGCAGGATTAATAATGTCATCATATCGCATATCAACTTATCTTGTGTCGTTTTTGCACCACGCATCAAATAAGCAGATGAAACTGAGAAAACACTTTTTTCTCTCGCTAAATAAGAGGTGCGAGGACAGAGATCCTCAAAAATTTCTCAGTTCCACGTTAATGCAATCAGTGGGTGTTTCACAAGCGCTCATTTAGTCAGAACTTAGTCAGAATTCATGTGTTGCATTTAAAGGTCAGTCAAGCTTGTTTTTACGGAGACTGTTTCCATTGGAGGAACCATTGGTTCAGGTGTTGTCGTGTCTAAGTTCTTTGTTATATTTCTATAATCCAACATAGTGTTTAATCCTATTTGATTTATTCTTTCGATACTTTTTGATTGAACACTGGATTTAGCTTCAATACTGGCTTTTGCTGTCTTAATTTTCACTGCTGCCCTTATGATTAATCTTGTTTGTTTTATTGATAAAGAAAATACAAAGTGGAAGGCCTTAAGGAAAAGCATTGTGGGAAGAAAAACACTCACATGGGCCTCAGTTCTTACCAGGAAATCAAACGTAGAGCTGTAGAGAAAAGTGCTAAAGGTGCGTAAGTTTGTAAGTGATGCCTTTCACAGCCTTTTGAAAGTTGGATCGATGAAGATTCTGAACTTGGGACGATGTTTGTTGTTCTGGTCTGTTGTTGACAATTTTACTTGAAAAACCAGGTGCTCAGTGTCCGCGTTTCCAAATGATAAAACAGAGTTTTATCTCGACGGTAACAAAACTTACGAAAATTTGGTTCCAATGCTAAAAAGAAGGATCGGTATCCCGGTTCACCACAACTGGTTTAAGTTTGAAGTTTAGGTTTTGGTACAACTACTGAGAATTCTAGGTCATTCTCTTCCCTTGCTGAAACATTGTCTACAAACAAGATGGTGTCATCTGTGAATGTTATCACAGAATGAGAGCAATGTAAGATGCGTTCTTTTATTTTTCTGATCTTCAGTCCGTCTGCTTTCTGCAGCCCCTCGTACGACGACGATCTCTCTACTAGACCTAAGGTGAAGAAGAAGAAGAGAAAGTCATTTGGCAAGAGGAAAAGAAAAAGGTTCGTCCCTGAACTAGCCTGTAGTAGAATGCGTTGCAAGTTTTCTCGCAATTTGTTATATTATTTGTCCATGTGTCTCAGGTCTCCGTCCCACAGCCTGTCACCTCTGAGGAAGAAAAAGAAGAAAAGGAAGAAGAGCTCCAAGAAAAGCAAGCGGCACAGGTACTTCGTGAACAGGATGAAAATATTCAGAATATTGTTCCACACTTATTTCCATGTTACTCATATCGTCATCTTCTCTTTTCCAGATATTCTTCCAAGAAGTCGAAGCATAGGTACATGTTGAGTAAATAGGATATCAAACACTGCGGCTCGATGAATTTTAAGATTGAAGACCAAACCTCCTGAGAGTTCCTGACATCTGTGTTGATCCTCATATTCTCATGATTCTGTTCTTTCTCATTTCACCAGCTCCTCAAGTTCAAAACGTAAGAGGAAGCATGAGCACAAAAAGAAGAAAAGGTCAGTTGGTTTTTTTCTGTTTGTTGCATCAGAATCATGTTCTTTCAAAAACCTGGATCTGAACCAGATTATCAGAGTCCCATCTGGTGGCTAACTTTAGCTTCTGTTTTATTCTGATCATGATAAAACGCAAGTTAGCAACGTTGTTAGCGCCCACACACGTTAAGTTCTTTACTTAACTTCAAGGAGGTGACGTTGGAATAAAGTGGTTGGTGATTGGATGTTGATGTCGGTTTGAAAGTTAAATTTTTCAACTTTATTTATGTCGGGTGGTCGTGGTCACTAAATTATCTATCGCATTAGACTTCTGGTAAGGGGCCTGGGAATTTAAATTTAGGAATTTCTGCAATAACATTTTTTTACCAATAATAATTAATTTCCTGTAATAATTGATATGAAATAAAATTGAAAATAATTGAAAAACAAAAAAAACACATCGAAGCCCAAAACCCAAGATAGTCATTTGATGCAATTCAAATTTAATAGAAAATAATAAACTCAAAATATGTTGCATGGTCAAATTTTTTATGTGATTAATTTTTCTTCTTGGTCTTTAATTGCAAATTATAAATAAAAGTCTTTCATACAGAAGGGGAAAACAACATCAAGCTATGGTTCTGCTTTTTGTTTTTATTGTGAGGTTGTAGTTGAAGCTTAGAATCAAAATAAAACACCACTTGATTCAGTACAGTCAGGTTTTCCGCTACATAGTTAGAAACATCACTGCTGTGTTATTTATGTGTCTGCTCATCATCGTTGCCCTCCCCCTCAAACCCCTCTTTCTCAACACCTCCATCAGCTCCCGGACTCACTCGCGGCGGAGGCGTTGCTATCGGAGGTCAGCGTTGGACAGTTCCTCCTGTCACTCGGCCGCAGAGGACAGGTAAGGAAGTACATTTCAAGCCTGCACTCACTGCTGGGGGGGGTTTATCTTATCAGTCTAAGGTGTCTGCCAACTTTATGGTCACACTGCAGATGACTGATAAGACAGAGGTGACGTCCTGATCAGTTGTTATCAGCGCTTCACAGGAAATGGCCCTTCAAATTTAATCCACAGATCAATGCCTTTAATTATAAAGATATGTTTCACAATTCTGAACACAGTCACAGCGTGAGGAATGAAGCGTGCAGTGATGAATGATCATCGATCATTATGTTTACGTTTACAAGTCAGGAACGACATCTGGGTAATCAATTTTTATGATGAACTGCATTCAACGGCCACTTTATTAGGTACACTGTTAAAATTACGCTGTGAAATTTAAACCAGAGCAATAGAAGGAAACGCTGGTTTAAGTCATTGTGAATGAGGCATGAACCTTCCTGTGGGTGGTGAGTCCACTGGAAGGTACCAAACTTCCTAACTGGGATTCGCTCTAACACAGGAGATGAACCCTGGGGTTCCACATCAATGATAGAGACAGTAGTAGGAGTAAAATTATTTGTGGTGATTATATTAAACTACCTAGCATTTAAAGTTCAGAGGTAAAAAAAAAAAAAGTAAAATATTGTTCCACCTACCAAACATATCCATGTTTATCAATTGTTGCTGCAAAAGTTGTTGCTGCAAAAGTTGCTACATAAAAATTGTATATGTATATATGTGTATATATATATATATATATATATATATATATATATACACATATATATATATACAATTTTTATGTAGCAACTTTTGCAGCAACAACTTTTGCAGCAACAATTGATAAACATGGATATGTTTGGTAGGTGGAACAATATTTTACTTTTTTTTTTTTTACCTCTGAACTTTAAATGCTAGGTAGTTTAATATAATCACCACAAATAATTTTACTCCTACTACTGTCTCTATCATTGATGTGGAACCCCAGGGTTCATCTCCTGTGTTAGAGCGAATCCCAGTTAGGAAGTTTGGTACCTTCCAGTGGACTCACCACCCACAGGAAGGTTCATGCCTCATTCACAATGACTTAAACCAGCGTTTCCATGACAAAGGAAAAACAACAGTTCACATTAAAACTTTGTGGATTTTTATTTTTTTCCCTCCACAGAAACCATCTCCAAAAGTCTGTGGTTCATCAGGTTTTAGGGCAGGTGTCAGGTGCAGCAGAGGAGCCCAGCAGGGAGCTCCAGCACACGGACCTGAAATGGAGAAGTTCAAACAAATCAGAGTGTAAAAAGACTCGCTCCATCCTCTCCACCTGCACCGTAAGTACTGCTTCGACTCTGCGACTGGCTCACCTCCCGTTATTCAGCTGCTCAGTCATCGATATTAGTGCCTGGTGCACTGACTAACATTTTTTTTTTTTAAATTGTTATTTATTAAATATGAAAACTGTTCCTCGCTAACAGACTATGGAGCGGACTGGAAGATGAGAAATCGAAAGAACTAAACCCGTTTAAGCCCTGAGTGAAGACTTCAAGTCGACACAGTTTGAATTTTTTTCGTTTATCACAGGGCCTTTTGGCTTCATATGGTAACAGCCTTGGCCTTAAACACATTGTCTTGTGTTTATTGAGGCATAAAAAGCATTTAGTCTCTCCCTTGCAATCATTAAATTATGTAAATTGTCCAGACAGATGTTTTTTAATTACACTCCACAGGGTTTTAATTGAAATTCAATAAATGAATCCATATTTTGAATTATGCTTGGCATTCAGTGTCTCACAGTCTTTAGGGCCTTAACAATTGGCCACACAGCGGTTTTCTCTATCGTAGCAGCGCGGTTCAGTGCTGCTTATATTTATTTACAATATCAATGCAAAAAAAACAAAAACATTCATTAACATGTATTTCCCCAAATGCAAACAATAAAGACGCAGGTAAGTATGAGAGAAATAGAAAGAAAAAAAATCTTTGTCTCACAGGATGAGTGTGTATGAACTATATAAGGTCTTAATTTCACTGGTGATTTAAAGCTTTAACTATCTTATGATAACGTGAATGAATGACTTACAGTAAAGTACAACTTTTTTTTGAAATTGTCCGGGGAGATTTGAAGGATTTTGTTTACTCCGGAATGTAGAAGTAGGAAGACTTAGTTCTCCCCCTCAGGGGGTTGTTCTTTAGCAGAACTTTAATGGTTCTTCTGACCAAGGATCTCCAATCTGACACATAGAGGGAGCAGGGACTCCAACTACTATCGCTATTATCCATTATCAAGTTTATATATTTACATTCTCAATCCCATACTAGAGAAAAGAGTAAATAGAAGTATTGTGAGAACACGTGTTAAATCATATATTTTTGGGTGAAGTTAGCATCATTTACCTTTGTTTTTTGTTTTTTTTTTATTGTTACACTCATGTTCCCTTATATTTAGTGACATTTAAATATGTGCAAAATATTGGGGAAAAAAGTATGACAAATATATACAAATAATCGCCCAGTTGACCAACAATACCGCCACAGTAGGAAAGTCCGATAATATCGGTCAACCAATATTATCAGACGCTGATATTAGCGTAATTATGTTATATCTGTAAGAATCAGTTTTACCTCTGATAATGAAAATCCAATAAGCAAATAACCAAATGTGCTAGAATCGTTTGTTGGGTATTGAGATGTTTACCACAGTTTGGGGGGGAAACAGTTGCATATATGAGCATCGGTTGATATCAGAATTGAAAATTAAATGTTTAGACAATTTCGGCATGTTGTAAAAATAAGCAAAAAGTTTATATCGGACACCCTTACGCCATAGAGTCTGCGAACCCATTATTGAACACCTGTGATGTTTGATTTTGTTATTAGCCTGCAAACGATGGAACATCGACATCGTGTTCCAGTACCAGTAGATGTTTTCAGTTAAAATGAATGAAGATAGTTGCAGAGGTTTAAAAAAGTCCTTCGACCCACCCCTGGATCCCCCCCACCCCCACCCTTAAAAAGGGAACATACCAATGTACGTCTGAATGGCTCTGGGTTTGAGGAAAGGGTTATTGTCTTTTTCTTGCCTTTTACGACTCT